GTATATGGCTGCAATATAACAAAGAGTGAAAAATTTAAGGGGGTCTGAATACTTTCCGTACCCACTGTATATAAGCAGTGGTTGATTATCGGTTTAGCCGAAGAGTTGCATTGTAGGCTTTCTAACAGAAACAGCCTCAGATGATCTAAATCAATCAGATACTGTCAGATAACCTGGGATCCTTTAAAAATATGATCATTTGGTTTGTTTTTGTTTGGTTTGCCACCAGTGTCATGTCATTTCAGTGATATTTTTGCTTTCCAAATTAAATCATTTACATATATATTTATAGATATATATCATAATAATGATTCTTGTTGATGTTGGAGGTCGGCCAAGGACTCTGAGCACACCTACTGGAAAATCCTGCCCAGTGTGCCTCAAAACCTTTGCTACCAAAGCCAACGTGCGCCGTCACTTTGATGAAGTGCATCGTGGTTTGCGAAGGGACACAGTCACACCTAGCATCGCCTCGCGGCCTGGCCAGCCATTTTCTCTGGAGGTCACACCCCCTAGGAAGAGCAACAATGTCTCTCCAACACGTAGCCACAACTCCAAGTCCACCCCTGCAAACGCTAAAACAATGCCTTCAAACCAAAACCAGTCCAAACCTCAGAGTTCTCTCCCAGCCTCTTCACAGGTGAACCCAGCCTCCTGTCGCTGCACGCTGTGCAAGAGAAACTACAGCTCTCAGGTTGGTTTGTTGCCCTGCTGGTGTTTTGCAGCCATTTTAGCCTTTTGCTTTCTTCAAAGACCGGCTGTTTTCACTGTAAATGGGTTGTGCTCATTTTGGGGAAACCAAACAAGAAAGAGAACAAAACCAAAATATATGTCTTTACATAAGTGAATATATATATATAATTTTCTGAGCAAACAGTATCAACTGATTTTTAATTTTATCTGTGTATTTCAGATCATGTTGAAGAGACACATGCGTATTGTCCACAAAATATACAGCCTCAAAAGTAACAGGTCTGGCACCACGTCGGCCTCTGCTACTAGAGCAGCCACTCCTAACAGTGGCAGCACAAACTTAGGCTCAAGCAGCAGTATCCGAGTGAAAGAGGAAGCAGTCGAGCCTTCAGATGAAGATGATGATGAGGACATGGACAGTAGTCCAGCCCCATCTCCGAGTGGCAACACTGTGACATCTAAAGGTGTTTCTGTTATACACAACCCCATGAAGGTGAAAGAGGAGGAAGCCCCCTCAAGTCCAAAGTTGGTGTCATCCTCATCTGCAACATCTTTACGTGGGAGCAACATGTGCAGCAGAGGTGTGTCTGTCAAAATGACAAAACTGTCGGTGGGTTTTGACTTCAAGCAGCTCTTCTGCAAACTGTGCAAGCGACAGTTCAGCTCACGTCAGAACTTAACAAAACACATTGAGCTGCACACAGATGGCAACGACATCTTCATTAAGTTCTACCGCTGCCCCCTCTGTCGCTACGAGTCACGTCGCAAACGTGATGTCTTGCGTCATGTAACTGTAGTCCACAAGAAGTCATCTGCATACCTAGCCAAGATCATGCCCAAACTGGAGAGCAGGGCAGTGAAGAGGCTGGCCGAGGTGGTCCTCAACAGCACCCATCCTAACAAGAGGACAAGCAGCACCATCAAAGAGGAGGTGAATGGACGTCACACTTCTTCATCGTCCTCTGCTTCACTTCCTGTCACTCGCAAGCAAGACTGCACCACAGCTGGCCCCACCTCTTCTTCTGCCTCCTCTTCCTCTGCTCTGCCTCCTGCCCCCGTCACTAGGAAACAGCAGGACCTCTCATCGCCAGTCTTCACCCCCTCCCCTCCTGTCACCCGTAAACAGGAGAGACAGCAGAGCCACCAGTACCGCTCTGTCAGCCCCCCACTGACCCGGCGTAGCGAAAAACACACACACCAACGCAACTCCTCCTCCACCACCTCGCCCAGCAACCAGCCACCACACACCCGACGGCACGACTCCCAGTCAGAGAGCAGCAGCACAGGGTTGTCCTCCACTGAGGTCAGGGTGACCAAGAATTTCTCCCTGCACGCCTGTGACCAGTGTGGCCGGGCCTTTGCCAAGAAGGTATTGGATTGGAAATGTTTATTTATTAGATTTGAAAATGTTCCGGTAAATAATAACAATGGTTGGATCATTTAGAAAAACTGCAGTAATGTTTAAGTGGAGCAATCATTCTCTGAACAAAAACATAGAATACTGCAGTGGAAATAATCTAATGTTTAAGTGGAGCAATCATTCTCTAGTTCCTAAGAACTGTCACTCAGCATCAGAGTGACAGAGACAGAAATTGGGGTTTTTTCCATTGTCATTTCTTCACTTTAATATCAGTCCCATGCTTTTCCTTTTTCTTCTCTCTCTGTGAAAATACTTTGAAAGCACAATCTCCCAAGAAGCTATAGTTTCATAGTGTGGGTGCTGAACGACCACTGTTGAGACAGTTTTCATAACTACTTCTTCTACTTTTGGCTGTTCCCGTTAGGGGTCGCCACAGCGAGACATCAGTTCCCACCAAACTGGCCATGCGCACGTTAAACTTGGCATGTTTTGACGATGGATGCCTTTCCAGATAATGTCTAATTTAGAGTTGCAATCAACCTAAGCGGCATGTCTTTAGACTGTGGGAGGAAACCGGAGCACCCGGAGAAAACCCACGCAGACACAGGGAGAACATGCAGAGTTTTCATAAATATAGATGCAAAATTGACAATGATAAGAGGGATCAGACCAGATCACAGATTGGGCTGTTTGTATACAAGAAGCATTAAGAAAAATGACAGACTATTAAGAAGTACAGTACTTTTTCTTTGCTCTAATAAATTATCCTTTCCGTTTCTTGCTGCAGTAGCTCTCCAAGCCTCTGGCCAAAGCACAACCTGAATTAAATGAAACAACAAATAGTTGAATGAAAAAGAATAGAAACTAATCAGCAACTATTTCATAATAATTTGTCATTTTTAAAGCAAAATCCTAAATCTAACCTAAATGAGTGCCCCAAATATGAAGACTTTTGTATAGTGAATGTCGTTGTTGGCATCATGATGACATGATGTCACCCTTCTCAACTGGGGGGCATTATTCACTATTTTCTGACATTGAATAGTCCAGTGATTAATATATTAATTGAGAAAATCAACTATAGATTGATTGATTGATGGTCAGTATAACTGTTAACTGAAGCTAACATCAGCTGATTTGGAGAAGCATCAGGTGTTCTCATGATCTGCACTGTACCTGCAGTGTGATATTCAAGATGTGTTAACTGGTAGTTTAACTTTGTCATGGAAAACTTAAACCTCTGTGTAAATGATCTTTATTTTAATTTGTTTTTGTCAGCTGTACCTGGAGACTCATAAGCGAAGTCATCGTAACGCAGTTACGGCAGCAGCCAGCAGGAGGAAAGGCGTCAGCACCCGCTCCAAATCCCTGGTCTGGTGAAAGACACAGCGTAAGAACACCCAGCGTCATTGCAGTCTGTCCATCAGTCTAATGCTTTTCCTTCTTCTTTCTCTTCGCTCAGGCTCTGGTGTTTCCTCTCCAGCCAGAGCAAATAAGCTTAGTGGAGCAATGAGAATTTCCGCTCCTTGCTCACAGAGCTGTTTGCCCTTTCTGCTCCCCCGCTCAAAGCTGCATCGTGCTGTTCTGCTCGTTATCGCTCACTGCTCAATTCAGATTGCACCCACTCACTCCAAAAAAGGGGAAAAATCTGTATGTACTGTATTTCACTTTTAGCTTAAACCATAGCCTTACATCCTAAAGAAGTAAAGAACGACTACTTTTTTCCAAATAGAAATGATTTATTTCAAATTATAGTTAGGCCTATGTAACAAGGAATACAGCACAAAAAGTGCTGTAAAATTCAATGAATTCTAATTGAAAAAATTATACACCTACGTATATGACCCTTTAAAGTACTTCGGGAACTCCATTGTTGAGCTTGCAATGGCCAATTATTGACTGAAAAGTGTTGGATAAGTGTGCAAGACAGATGCATCCTGGGTCAGCCTTGGGCATGCTTCAGGCTCGTGGTTTGAGTTGTACCGGAGCAAAATTGGAGCGGAACATAAGATGAATCTCCCTTCTCTATAAAAAAAACAACAACTCTGCACTCTGTCCAAGATCTACTTGCTCGCACTCCGCTCCGCTCACATGCTCTCTCCAACCAAACACACTACAGTGTGGTGTGAATGTCTCTGTGTGTGATATCAGCTGTTACATATGCTCTTCCCTTCACTTTAGGCTCGACCACTCGCTCATTAGAACTTCATTTTTGTCTGTTGCTCTTTTTCCTGCATTTTCTTTTTAATAACATCTCTTCCTTGCACATCCTTTAGTTTCTCTTCATTCTTCCTCTCACAGTCTATGTTCTCTTCTTTGTTTCACTCCCTATCTTTTTGTTCTTCTCTTTACTCACAGTCTACCAGCGGTATTGATCAAGTAAGCCACTAACCTTGAAGAAGTGAATCGTAACTTCCAACTGGGAAAACAATGGATGAATGGAGCACAGAGCAGAGATGAAGGAAACAAACAAAAGGAACTGTGGAGGAGTGAAGTATAAAGGATTTTTCCCCTTTTGCTTAAGAACCAAATATATTGTTGGAATCTGACATTTGTTTAAAGTATTTGACTATGAAGCCAGCCAGCTTGCTAGGTGGCGGCACTGCTATCCTGCTATCTCACTACTGCTGTATGTATTCACTTACTACAGGATGTAAACATAGATCTATATGCAGGTGACAGATTGTACTGCATTGCTCTCTGTAAACCACTTTTACCAAAAGGTAGACGGTTCAGTATAATATGGAAGAGGGTGTGTGTGTGTGTGTGTGTGTGTGGGTGTGTGTAAGAAGGAGGGAGTCAGAACTGGATTGTGACCCTCACTTGAAGCAGGGTTTTTTTTTTTGGTTTTGTTTCAGGAGAAAGTAGAATAGACTTTGAGCCTTGCAGACACACAAAGATACACAGAACCTACTTGAGTCCTTGGCTGTTAGCATTTCAAATCAGTTAATTTTCAGATTCTCTCTGCATTCACACCTTATATCAATTAGTGCATTGCGGGTGCTAACAGTTTCATATATTCAAGACCACTTGGTAAGTGTTACAGCAGATCAACAGAAAATACATTTTCATCCCCTTTATTTCCCTGACAATATGAGGACTGTCATGTCATGCCAAATCTTCAGTTTTTTAGTAATATTCTTCATGCTGATAGCCTGTAGTCTTATTTGGTAACCTGTTGTAGCTACTTTGCAGTGACCAACAGCAGGCTCTATAGCTCAAGTCTTAGATGATTAAATTCTCATATAATACAGGGTATGGTCTAAATTAGAGAGAGCAGAGTGTGTTCGCAGTTTTCTCTGAGAATTGTGTGTGCTTTTTCTAATTCTGTCCATTTCTACTGGTCATATGTGTTTCCTTTACCTTCAGCATACCCTTTTTACCTTCATACAGTATATTATAGAGCCATCAGACTATATGAAGCGAGTCTTCAGCAGGGCATCAGTCTATGAACTGACAGTTATGTTCTGAAAGGAAGCTGCTGTAGAAAAAGTGACACTTTTGCTCAAAAAATAATGAAATTCCACAAAATAGGGCTCCACATACAGTGAGTAATAATGTGTGTTTGGATGTATAGTTTTGCTTTGCATACAGGTCACTTTTGTTGTTTAGACATTATAAATTATTCACTGGAAGACTATTTTCTGACCACTGACACCTTAGTGATATTTTTCATATATAGTGTTACTGTACTGTACATTCCACCTATGGATGAAATGCTTTTGGACACTTTTTGGCCAGTCAGTCCTACAACCCAAACTGGCAACAGTGCTGCATCACAGCAGTGGGGGAACCAATGTATTTTTTTTCAAAGCAGATGTGGCCACCTCAGCTTTAGTGCCCAAGCAGCCTCTGCAGCAACATGTGGAACAGGTCTGAATTGACAGCAGCTGTTTGGGAATCTATATAAGGCCAAAACATGCCATGTTAAGCTGAACAGGTCACATCCCCAGAATTAAATGTTTACATTATACTTTTTGTTCTTTTAACAAAAAAAGCAGAAGCCTATCTAGATAAATTCTGATGATTTTCTTTTTGACCAGTTTTAGACTAAATGCTGCATCACTTGTTCAAAATGTGCTTTCATATACTTAGTTAAGGGGGCCGAATTTGTTTTGTCACAGTCCCTTTGGTAGTCTTTAAAACACTGGCACATGATGAGAGGAAAGGGCTGAGGAAGACCAAATGCAGATATGTGTAAATGTTCAGACAGAAAGCCATGAAATAGAACAAAACTAGAGAACAGGAAAGGCCGAACTTTATTTTTATAATAGAAGATGCTAACACAACAAAGTCATCCTGCAGGGGTGGTATAAATAATAGTTATAATAGTCACAATATTTACTGACTTGTACTTAACTGTTGGTTGAGATGCTTCAAACATGTCTGACTAGTTACTACTCTGCCACTGTTTATTACTGAAACCAGTTGGCTTTGCTCCTCGATTAGTTGTCTTTGTTTGTGTATCATTGCTTTTGAAGGAGGACATGTTTTTGTTGGAATGTGTCAAGAGGAAAACAGGAATCAATCCTCAAGAGACTCCTAGAACTTTTTTTTAATCTTGTCCTTTCCTTCATCATCAGTTGAAATATGTTATTAGGCTCAGCTTTTAGAGAAAGAGAGAAGAGTTACAGAAGCCTGTTAGATGTGAGAAGAATGTTAAAACTGACCACTTCATAAATAAAGATGTACTGTTTCAAATGTCTGATGGGAGTTTTGTGTGACTTTTGTTTATTGCCTCATATATAAAAAAAAGGTGTATACAGTATATGTATAGATAGATAGATTAAATTGAACAAAAATAAAAAATAAAAACATTATTATGGCATGGTGCAAAAGTTTGGGCACCCTACACAATCAGTACTTAGTAACACCTCCTCTGGCAGATATCACAGCTTGCAAACGCTTTTCATAGCCAGCTAAAAGTCTTTCAATTCTTGTACTTGGGATCTTCTCCCATTCTTCCTTGCAAAAGGCTTCTAGTTCTGTAATATTCTTTGGTCGTCTTGCATGCACAGCTCTTTTAAGATCTACCCACAAATTTTCAATGATGTTTAAATCAGGGGACTGTGATGGCCATTCCAAAACCTTCAGCCTGCGTCTCTTGAGGTATTCCATAGTGGATTTCGAGGTATGTTTAGGATCATTGTCCTGTTGTAGAAGCCATCCTCTTTTCAGCTTCAGCTTTTTTACAGATGGTGTGATGTTTGCTTCCAGAATTTGCTGGTATTTAGTGGAATCCATTCTTCCCTCCACCCGTGCAATGTTTCCTGTGCCACTGGCTGCAACACAACCCCAGAGCATGATAGATCCACCCCCATGCTTAATAGTTGGCCAGGTGTTCTTTTCATGAAATGCTGCTCCTTTTTTTCTCCAAACATGCCTTTGCTGATTGTGTCCAAAGAGTTCTATTTTAACTTCATCAGTCCACAGCACTTGTTTCCAAAACGCATCGGGCTTCTGTAGATGTCCTGTTGCATACTTCAGACGTTGGATTTTATGATGGGGACGCAGATAAGGTTTTCTTCTGCTGACTCTTCCATGAAGGCCTTGTCTGTGCAAGCATCGCTGCACAGTGGAACGGTGCACCACCACTCCTGAGTCTGCTAAATCTTCCTGCAGGTTTTTTGCAGTCAAATGGGGGTTTTGATTTGTCTTTCTGACCAGCATACGAGCAGTTCTGTCCGAGAGTTTTCTTGGTCTTCCAGATCTCATCTTGACCTCCACAGTTCCCCTGATCTGCCATCTCTTAATTACATTTCTTACTGTGGAAACTGCAAGCTGACAACGCTTTGCTATCTTCTTGTAGCCTTCTCCTGCATTGTGGGCATCAATAACTTTCATTTTCAGGGTCTTACACAGCTGCTTAGAGGAACCCATGGTTGCTGGGTGTCCACAAGTGTGTGCACAAGGTTTGAAGAGTCAAGGTATTTGTACAGCTTTGAAATTGGCATTTACCAATGACAGCTGTTGCTGTGCATCAGATCTAACGAGCTGATTAAGGTCTGAAACCTTGTGAGAGACTTTGAGACTCTGGAACTCTTAGGGTGCCCAAACTTTTGCACCATGCCATAATCATGTTTTTATTTTTTATTTTTGTTCAATTTATGGCATAAGAAGTAACTATGCATCACTGTTTGCAGAAAATATTGTGCATTTTTTCCATTTCCAAGAGAAACTGTGTTAACATCTGTTCAAATAAAAAATCACCAAAATCTGTTATTTATCAAGGGGTGCCTAAACTTTTGCATAAGACTGTATATATATATAGTGTGTGTGTAATGGCACTGTTAGCCATTTCCTGGTTTTCTGCATAAATTGAACATGAAGTGTGACCTGACCAAAGTCACAAATATCAACAAACACAATATTTCAAGGATTTTTATTGTCAATTCACCATATGCGCAGGACATAAAGAAAATCAAAATACCGTTTCTCTCTCACCTAGTTTTGGGTGCCATAACATTTAGGAACAAAAATAGAATAAGAACTGGATTAACGTCATTAGGATCAATCTAAACAGGTACAGCCAATAAGCTGTGACTCAAAACCGTGTACAGTCAGTGACAGTAGTGCAAACAATAATAGGAGATTGTCAGATGGGTCAGCCTTGGAACTTGGTGCTGCCCACTCCCTCCACTACAGCACCGCTGATGGTCAGTGGTGGATGCTTTAGAGGTTTTTTCCTGGAGTGGGAGTGTGTGGGGGAG